GGAACCACGGATGATTCAGGAGGAGGAGCGGACGGCGATGGACCTTCAGACGCGGAGTCAGCAGGACTGCTTGATGGAGGCGCGATACTTGTCGGTGGTGGCGCAGCGCTGGAAGACGGAAGGATTGTGCTAGACGGTGCAGGTGCCGCACTACTTGGAGGTGGAGCCGGGCTCGAACTTGGGGGTGGAACTCGAGTACTGCTTGGCGGTGGTGGCGGCGGTGAAGCGCTGCTAGAGGGTGGCGGTGGAGGAGGCCGCGAGCTGCTTGGAACTGGAATTGCACTAGAAGAAGGAGGTGGAGGGGGAGGCCTACTTGATGTTGGTGGAGGAGGTGGCGATGGCGAACTTGGAGGAGCAGCAGTGGTTGTTGGTACTGCACTTGTTGAGGGTGCTTCCGAAGATGGCAGAACGACAGATTGCGCAGTCGGCCTTCGGACCGTCGATGTACTCAGGCCGGCAACTGAGGAAATATAGGTGGCAGTTCCAATTGAAGATTGAACGCCGCTCACTGTACTTCCATCGGCTGGGTCACATGCGTCTGGACCAATTGACTGGCCAAGCTGGGCAATGACGGTCGGCTGGCTGTTGAGAAAGTCGACTACCGTGGGCGCCACGAACGCTGTATTGGGGACGGAGTCGAGAGGTACAATGAGAGACGCATAGAGTGTAGGAGATGACAAGGCAAGGGTTTCTGTCTCAATCACACAAGCCGTTCCCAACGCCTCGACTTCCAGATGGCTAAAAGTCTCGTAGGCTAGGTAGGTCGTAGGATACGTCAGTGGCACGCCCGAGTAATCCCATGTGAATGTTGGCGGCGCTTGAGAAGGTAGGGCGTTGATGAAGAGCGATGAGCTGACATCCCTATTTTGATCATCCGTATAGATCGTGAGAGTGGCTGTTGGTACCTGAACGATCTCGGTAACGATCTCCCCAGGGTACTCTAATCTGGTCGCGGTGACGTCAATCTGGCACTCGCTAGAGCAGGAGATTGATGCAGGCGTGGTGGGAGATGGACTTGGTGTCAATGTTTCCACAATGGTAGTAGGCTGGATCTGGGTGGTAACGAAGGACTGAGTGATGAGAACAGTGGAAATGGACGTCGTTGCAGGCAACGTCACGGTAGCTACCGAGGTGGAGCCAGGAAGAGAGATCGTGCTCAACACTGTCGATCCTGGTAATGTGACAGTCGACAGTACAGTACTTGTCGTAACGCTGCCCGGTAATTGGGTGACAATCGTGGAGGTGACCGCAGGTAGCGTTACCGTAGAAAGGACAGTACTAGCCGGTAGCTGACTAGTCACAACCGAGGTTTCTGCAGGAAGCTGAATGGTAGAAGTGACGACTTCTCCAGGTAGAGTGAATGTGGAAACTATTGTGCTCGCCGGAAGTTGGGACGTTATCACAGAAGTAGTGCCGGGGAGTTGAACGGTAGTAGTCGTAAGCTCGCCAGGTAGAGTGATAGTAGACAGTACCGTGCTTGCGGGGAGCTGTGTTGTGACCGTTGACGAAACTCCGGGAAGCGTCAATGTGGTAGTAGTAATCTGGCCTGGTTGTGTGAAGGTCTCCACAACGGTCTCTGGTGGCGATATGCTGACAGAAGTCACTGTAGCTTGCGGGAAAGTCAGAGTCGATACAATCGTTGAGACCACTGTGCTAGGCGGAATCTGAGTCGTGATTGTCGAAGTTTCGCCCTCCAAGGTCGTCGTAGTTGTGGTGACCTGGGGTGGCAGAGTCAGAGTGCTAAGCTGCGTAGATACTTCTGTGACTGTCTCCTCAACTGTCTCTGTGGGGCCCGGAATGGTGACCGGAACAGTGGTCTCTATCGTACGATCCGATGTCACGACGACAGTCTGTGGAATAGTTTCCGTAAACGTAGTCGTGATGTATATCTCGGAAAAGACGGTCTCAGTAGTAACACTCGTAGTGCCAGACAGGGTCAGGGTTGATACAATGAATTGTGTTGACGTTGACGTCGACACAGATGTAGACACGCTCGTCGTCAGAGACGTTGTGGTCACGCTGACCACTTCTGTTGTCGTTGTTGGCGTGAAGCTGATGATAGTCTCAATTGGACCAGGGACCGACACTGTCTGAACCGAAGTCTCAATGGGTCCCGGAACCGAGACGGTTTCCACTGTAGTCTGAGTAGGACCTGGAATAGAGACGGTCGGTCCAGGGACGGTTGTTGTCACAGAGATGAGGTCGGTAAGAGTGAGCGTTTCTGTTGTTGTCGAGACCACCGTCTCGGTCCTGACAGATGTAGTCCCAGGCACTGTGCAACAATCAGCATGTGTTTTGTAAACCGCTTAGGCAGATATGAAAATAAAGACGGAATACATGAAAACAAGGCAGAAGTTCATAGGATTAAGATTAGCAGGTCGCATCGAGGGGATGAGCAACTTACGTGTTTCAGTGATAGTCTCATAGATTGTAGTAGGGTAGGTAGTAATCGAAATGTAGGTCGATGTTGAGATGCTGACCGTCGTAGAAACGTCGGTTTGCGTGCTGATGTCGGTTGTCGTCGTCGTCGTCGTGGTGAGATCGGTAGTTGGTACGAGAGTCACTACCGTTGAGATTATGGTCTTCGTTGTGTATTCTGTGATTGTGTTGTTGACGGTTGTTGTAGGCCCGGTCACAGTATCATAATCAGTCTTTGTGATGGTAGAGTTGTTCACATGAGTCACAGTAATGGGCTGCGGAACAGAACAGTACTCGGACGAAGTAACAGTTTCGTGCTCGGTCTTTGATAGTCAGCAACAGTCGGGGGCAACTTAAGAATGGTCATACCTCTGTGACAGTGACGTTCTCTGTATGGGTCACAGTCAAGGGAGGCGGAACAGCGCAATATTCAGAAGATGTGACAGTGACCGTTTCCGTTTTAGTTTCAGTCTTTGTTTCAGTATCTGTTTCGGTCTTTGGAGGTGGCGGTCCAGGTGGTGGTGGTGGATGTGATGGAGGTGGCGGAGGTGGTGGTGGCTTTGATGGTGGTGGTGGAGGAGGAGGCGCGTCGTATCCACTAGACGTGGTTGCTTCCTTCGTTGAGGAGGTTACTTCTGTGGGATAAGCAGGATAGGTCTCTGTCGGATAGGTGTCTGTGGGATAGTCGTCTGTGGGATAGGCTTCTGTCGGATAGGCGTCTGTGGGTGAGGTGTCGTATGCAGGCAGTGAAGTACTGTTGTCACCATATCCACCACCTTGCGCGACAGCTATGCTTGTAAAAGCCAGCAGAAGGGGCCAATGGCTGCGCATCTTGAAGCGAAAGACTGCTACGCCGGCTGAACGAGTGGCACACGGCTTGGAGCTGGACGAGAAGGTTAGACACGTGACGTGATATGCCTGAAGTGACAAAAGAGCTATCTTGACTGAGAAAGTACAATACAGTGTCAAGCGTGGCACTAGTCAAGGTACGGATTGAAGTAAGGGGAGGATCAGGAACGACTATGTAGGGTACCAATGGGGGCATCACATACCTTGCGACGAAAGATGGGCTGGAGGCTCGAAAGAGGGAAGGAAGCAAGCAGGAACGGATAACTATAAGACGATGACGAAGCTAGCTGCCGACGTGCATATGACGGTGGGAACAAATCCTTTGGCGAGGCTGGCAGCAGCCAAGCTTGGCCAGTAATCCTGTGTGCCAGGGTATGTAAACATCAGGCCGGAAGCAGAACAACCAAGCCGAAGGCATAGATCTACCTGACCGCCTGCCAAATGACGAACGCCCGGGCTTGGTGGCAGCATTGAAGTATACTCAGATTGCCTAGACCTTCTTCAAGCAATACGGCCGGCACAGCTCAACGGCGAAAGGCCGCCACAGAAGCCAGGGTCGCAGTGAGACCTAGTAGACTTCCAAGACGTGGTGTCGCATTCAATCCGCATGATGAAAACCGCCGGACAGATGCAAGTGACGCGGGATATTATCCAACCCAGAGGCCTGAAGACAAGTAGAGAATCGCATCCATGGCGGTTGCTGACATGGTTACTTCTGAGGCCGCATAAAGTTAGCTCGTTACCTTGCACAGAGTAATGGCCTGCAGCCCATCATCACTAGCGATAGCTTTTGGCGCCAGACGGGATCCGATGAGGATGGCATTCTGGGGGCCGAAAATGAGGAGCGAAGCTCGGAGCAGAAGGGCGCTCCTTGCACAGGTCCGCTGGTGCCGAGCGCCATACTCGCACTGGCTACACGACTCTAATTCCCGAATCCGTACGATCGTGTTTCTTCAAGGGTGGGTCGCGCAGGGTGACAACAAAAGTGGATTGTGTGTTGCAACGTGTGAGAGGTGCATGCACGTGAGAACGGATGTGCGTGCTGTGCGGGAAAGTGGGGCGGCGGCTCGAGCGATTGGGCCGTTGGCTTCCGCTGAGTAAGGCGATCGAGCGCGCCAGCCAGTGAAGCTCCACCTGTCCGCGGGCCGTCAAGGCTTCCCTCGAGGTCTGCCTTTCCAGCCACCTCAGCATGCAGCCTATCTGCGGCCCTGGTCAACAACGATTGCCATCCAGACTCTCGATTGAATGCTTCGCGATCCTTCTCCGCCCAGTCCTCTCCCAATGGGAAGGCCGGTGGCAACCACACAACCTGTGCCCTTTCACCGGTATCGCCACGTCCAGTCATATGCCGGCTCGTCCACATGTAATATGCAACCTCAGGGCGCCCTGGCGATGCTGTGCCTCTACCCCGCCTGAGGCACGGGCGCAATACATCCACAACAAGCAGATGGGCTTGACGCCTAGAGCGGCCAGACAAATTGATGTTTAACCGATCCAAGCAACGGCAATGAGGACCTTGCGACTGTCGTCCATGGAGCGCTGATATGCATTGCCCACGCAAGTCGCGGTTCATTGCCAGTCCGGCACTACCAGCTGACCTACGCTAAGTGGTTGCGGTAGCTGACAAGGTGTTGGTGGTTTCTATGGCTTGTGCCTCTTCTTATCTGTAGCCTCCTCTTATCAACCGACAGCCCTTCACTTCGGCTGCGATGCGCCGTGGTCAAGTTACGACGATGTTTTCCAAGAAGCGTGCCGAGCCGATTCAGTTGCCTTCGCCTTACGTTCTGAGTCCCAGTGGGCAGTACGAAGGAAATGACGGGAAGTGGTCTACGTTCTTCATCAATGTCGGCGACGACGCCAAGAACAACAGCAACGGCCAGAACTTCAGGGTACTCATATCCACTTCTTCGCCTGCTACCCTCGTACCGCAACAGACCGACTGGTGTTCTGATCCCACTCCTGAAGAGTGTGCAGCGAATCGTGGTATCTTGCCATACGAAGGCCGTCCGTCTCTAGGTTTCGATGACGAAAAATCTTCAACATGGCAGACTGCAGGAGTCTACACTATTCCGGTACCCGAGTGGTACAATGACACATTGCAAGCGGAGGAACCAGCCGCAGTTTGGGGTGTGGATAATGTTGGCCTGGGTGAGAGTTCACCAGGAGGCTTTATCCTGGCGGAGCAGTATGTCGTGAAGTACACCGTTGCAAACTTCTACATGGGTTCCCTTGGGCTCGCTGTTGGATCTACCGGACCCCCTGGCGCACTCAAACCAAACTTCATGGACAACATGTACGGAAGCGCCCACAGAATTGCGAGTCGGTCGTTCGGATATACCGCGGGGGCTTATTATCGTAAGTGCATCGTGTGGTGTGTATCATCAGTTACCACCGCAGCGGGAAGAGAAATTAGCATATCTGAACGCTAATACAAACAGGCAATAACAACAACGGAGTTACAGGAAGCTTGGTGATCGGCGGTTACGATAAATCGCGACTTTCCGATCTAGGTGTCTCGATCAGTATGCCCAGCCGGCAGAACAACACGCTTGCTGTTGGCGTCATTTCCATTCTCTGGAAGCCAGACCAAGACGCCGAAGCCACCACAACTTCTTTCACCAAGGGAGGATTTCCTGCTACCATCGATTCCACATTACCGTATCTTATCCTTCCGGACGAAGTCTGTGACCTATTCGTCACTACTTTCGGTCTGACCTTAGACGAGGATGTCCAGCTGTATACTGTCAACGACTCATCGCACCAGCAGAATCTACGACTAAACCCAACACTATCCTTCAAGATCGGCGCCAATACTGGTGGCGACAGCACAGACTTTACGGACATAACTCTCCCATACTCGGCGCTGGACCAGCAAGCCGGATATCCACTCTTCTTCAATACAACCCGTTATCTTCCCATAAAGCGATCACTAAATGGAAGATTCGTGTTGGGGCGCACATTTCTGCAGGAAGCGTACATCGTGGTCGACTACGAACACCAGAATTTCACGGTCGCTCCAGCCACATTTTCTGATCCAATGCCAGATCCGAGTCTAGTCACCATATTCGATAGGTCTTACACTGGCCTACCGACACCGCCAGAGTCTGAGTCTGGAGGTGGGCTATCGGCAGGCGCAATCGCAGGGATTGTTGTCGGCATCGTTGGCGCTTTCATCATTGTCGCAATCGGTGCTTACCTTCTATGGAGGAAGAAGCGCCGGACGGCAAAGGAACCCGAAGAAAACACCGAAAAGCCGTCTGAGATTGACACAACTTTTGCTGGTACTGAGATCAAGTATCGTCGTGTCTCAGAGCTCACTGGCTCTGAAGCTCCTCATTCACCAAAAGACCCTGCAGCAGGCTATTACAGTGTTGATCACAAATCCTACCCACCTATCAGCGAAATGTCTCCGGAGAGCACCCCCGCTGAGCTTTACAGCCCTCCGCCAGATGGTCGCAATTCGCCCGACTACTTCTCCAATGGCAGGTATAGCGTGCCTCTTGCAGAACTTCCCGGCGGAGATACGATCAGCTCAATGCCTAGTAAAAACTCAGACATGAAGCCAATGCAGAAACCTCCACACAGCCGAAGTCCAAGTGACAACTCACTTTCGACCAATATCGACGAAGTACTAGCAAAGAAGGCGCCTGAAGCTGGACCAGATGGCGAAGCCACAAGATCAGCAGTGGAGCCTGGAGCGCCAGCCACTGCTGAAGAGATTACCAAAGCAAAGGCAGGCGCACAACCCGAAGCGGACAACGATGCGGAAGAGGCGGCGATCGAACGACGGCCGTCACACACCAGAGGACTGAGCGACACAACCATTCAAAGCGATAGTACAGCAGTCTCGCAACCAACACCCGAAGAGCTAGAGCGCTGGGCGAGAAGTGTAGATGGCCAAAGTAGGCCCATGTCTCCATCATGAACGACAGAACTTTCGACTTCGAACACTTCCATGACTCAACACTTTCGGATCTTTTCTTCCTTTAGACTTTTGATATGTTTTGCGTCGCAACGTTCGCCTCTTGGCCAGTCTTTTGGGATTATTGCAACACGTAGATAGTGTTCGACCTTTCTTTCGGGATGTTCACGAGGAGACGATCAAGATACCCACTAGTACACTCTTTACGACTTTAATGTAATAGTACACTGCATCGCTATCTTATCGCATCGCACTACATTCCATAGAACCGCCAGCTTTTGAAACACTTCCGACATCTCACAACGGCACGCGTTCTCGCATGGTTCGCATCATGCCTCATCGGTTCTCGCGCAGTACATTATCGCTGAAGCAGTACGGCGTCTGCAATGCGACTACTTGCGTCGTATGCTCCCCACACCAGTGGCTGTCTCTTAAGCGCGGATCCTCTAGCTTCCGACATCTAGAAGCAATGATCGCTTCTAATGATCCCCAATATGCGTATTTCCGCCAGCGCAACCAGTTCGTCCCCACCGATCAGCATGCAGCGGCAATACTCTATTGCCGCGTCACTCGGCGTGATTGACCGTCACTGCATGCTTATACAACGCGACCTGCGTGCGTGCGTGGTGGTTAGCATCCGAGCGGCACAGTCTAGCGCTGCGGGTGCGAAGGAATTATTGATCAAATTTCCACCTCCGCGTCCTTCTCTAGTCACCAACTTTAAACAGATGATTGGAAGTTACTCCCCTCCCCAACAATGAGGCTCAGCACTTCGCGTCCTTGAGCTTTCTCAATACGGAAGGTGCGCAATAGTAGACTTACGCCACCGCTCTTTGTTCCAAAGCACCTCAGCGGCTGGCTAAAGGACCATGCAGTAGGCCTGCATGCGACTTATGTGAGAAAGCGGCACAGCCTGGTGTGAAGAAAAGCATTTTGGGGGCCGTCACACAAGACATAGGCCGCATATTGGGCAGGATGGAAGGCAAGTCAGCCTGGTATGTTGTTGAGCATGATTGACGTGGCAAGTCGCAAATATCATACCGATCGTGGGATTAGGATGTTGCGATAGCGGTCATTCTGTGGGGCAAAGCCACAAGGTGACTGTCAGAACGCGCTTACGTGGGGCACTCGAGAGAGTACGTTTGAACATTTTCTGTAGTGTGGGTAATAAGATTGAAGGCGGGCGTAAATTGGTCATAGTGGGCAAGACAAGGGCGCATTTTTGGCGTGCAAGCGTCTTGAATGAAAGATACATTGGAAAGCCGCCAAACACCGACCGAACGGTCGACAGATACGAACACATTCTTGTTCGTATTCGCGCCACAGGCATCAGCTCACAATGACGTTGCCCCAATTATGTGTTGTGATTAGAATTGCAGCGACTACGCCGCAATTTATTATTCATTGGCTGTGAACCTCGTTATACTGCCGGCCGTGGTACGCGGCGAGAAGCCGCTGCTAATGCGGGTACCTAGCCGGCGGTCACCTAGCCGGCGGTACCACTCAATGGGGATGATGGGATCGACCCGAGGCTATACTGCCGCTAGAGAACTGCAGGTCCATAGTCTGCCAACATCGTGATTATATGTATTAGATCGCTCCACACCTGTGTTTGTATGGTGTCAGCTGCGAGTCTGCCGGGTCGTGGTGAGTGGTCTGGCCACGGGGCCAAGCCTGGTATTAGTCCTCTCCCGGAACTTGTTCGTCCTCTGCAGCACCCATCTGAACAGCGAACTTCGAGCCTCGTCGCTGGATAGAGTAAGATTGCGATGGTTCAGCGCCGGACGTTGCAGATCCGATAGTCGGTGCCTCCCGTTGAGGTGTTGTTTCCGCCGATGGCTGTTGAGACGCTGATGCTGACTCAGAAGCGTGTCCCCGGTTCAGGACATTGGTGAACAAGCTCCACGAATCTCCCTGCTGCAGGAAAGACAGAGGCCATTGAATAGCGGGTGTCCAACTCTGGTCAATGGCCTCATGGCATGCTTTCGATACCCGCTGTCCCCAGCCCTCCATGAACCAGTATCGCGTCTCAGCTGCATGGAACATGGTCGTATAGTACAAGAGAATTACGATCGCGCCTGACCTTCGCTGTTGAACAGCTTCCATGAAATCTGGTCCTAACTGCAGAGGCCAAAAGAATAGGAAACGTAGCTCCCGGTTATCCACTCGAGCAGGCAGCGATATCTGGAAAGCGGGCTCGAAGAGGGAAATGACAGTAAGATAAAGTTTTCGTTCAGCCTCTGAGAGATCTGTTCTCCCCTCAATGAATGAGACCAGTGCTGGTAATTGACTTTGCAGCTCTAGCAGCACGGGCTGCGATGCAGTGGGTTCCAACGGATCTCTCAATATCGGGCCGAGAAAAGAGTCCCTCACTGCCATTTGAGCGAGCGCAAGAACGTGTCCCATACCTTGCATGAGATGGAAGGCATTCACCAGACTATCAATGTCGTTGACAGGTGCAGTAAGAGGTGTCTGGGCCTCGAATCCCGTTGAGGCAAATACGCTGAAGGTGAGCAGTGTCGACGTAGCTACAATCGCCGGGGCGTCTTCGTCTGTTACGTTTTGAAGCTTCTCTCGAACTCCCCGAATGGCGAGATCTTGATGATGGATACCGCAAGCATAGTATGGCTGCCGTTGGTCTAGAGGCTGTTGATATGCTTTGTGTAGCGCCGCAAAGGCCAGAATCTCATGCATGAAGAAGTCATGTGCGTTGGCTTGTTTGGGAGCCTCGACCCTCCACATATGCCGAATAGTAGGTCGTTGGGACAGGGTATCAAATGCCTCTGTTGTCCAGTGGTGTCTAAAACAGTTGGTGATGATCCTGGCAATGGTCCAACTGACTTACAAGAGCTCCAGGTCCCGCAACCATAGCGACGACTGACTCGGTTGATTTCTGTGTATATATCTAGTCAAGAAAGGGTATGCGTCCGATTGCGAGTCGGAAGAATCCTCTTCCGAGATAGTCGAGACGGCCCTCGCTCCGGCTGCGGTCGACGGGTTGCGCGGGTAGGCCACGTGGGCAGACGATGCCGATGAACCCTGTTACACCAATGAGAAAAGAACGACTATGTTTCATGGCGTTTTATGGGGCATACCGGTATAGATCGTTCGAGCGGTGACTGATTCGCACGTCGTGATGCAGACGATGCGGAAGATGCCGAATGAGCTGACTGGGATGCGCTGGGATCCCAGACGACGAGGCTACACGGAACGCCATGGCGGGCGCAGTTGGTACACGGCTTGAGTTCATCACACTGAGCTACTTCAGTATCGAGTCCTCGTAAGCGTGTAATGCTTAGTTCGATGTTGTGTCCTACCTTGACATGGCGGGCTTTACATTGCTGGCAGCCTAGTCTGGACCTAGAGAACGTGATCGGGTCAGATAGGAGCGAATAGTGGTTTTGAGGTATAAAACGGGGATGCTGTGGCTCGAGGGTACGGGGTTGTGGGCGACGAGTGGTAGGAGTGTGGCGTGATGATTACGGACTTTTTGTGGCCGAGGCGCGGCATTGCAGCGAACTACCGTGACCCGAGACCAAAGCTTTGGGCCTCGACAGTGTGACCAACCGATCAGGCTATCGTCGCAACGGACCGTCTCGCTGTTTCAAGCCGCAGGATGAGGGAACAATGCGAATGCGAAGGTGAGGTACGTGTGGACGATGCTGTGGGTGGTGGGTCGGGAGAATCTTCGCGCACAAGGATGATCCCACACTATGCCACGTTCGCTCCAGACGATGCCGAATCGAACTTGACGGCAGCCGCGGCACACCTCGCATTCGCATTCCGGTGTTCGTAACGAGATAGATATAGTCTCCGACATGTGATGCGGTTGTGGTCGACGTCGCGATCCATTGGGTTGTGCGTCATCCGGCTTCTTCCGCCGCTTCAATCATCTCGCGTTCGGATCATAGCGTCATCCTCAAGACAGGAACATCGGAATCGACCCTGACCAACGGTACGATGGTATAATGTCACCCATTAAGTCGGAGTCGAGGACGCACGAGCCCAGAGATAGACGCGAGAGCCGCCTCATTTACAGTCCATCGCGGACGCGTTAACACAACCTCCATCGTTATCGAACCCTTTTGATGCATACGTACGAGTCAAAAACTATGGAGAAAGAGCTTGGAGCTGGCGGGTCGATGATATGCCCAGGCAGAATTCTACTAGGACTTCGGTATGGTGCTCCATTGCGTCCTAGCCTCATCCACATTATCCAACTGTAAGATGCACATCAACTTCCGCGATTGCAATGTAGCGCATATTGCTTTTTCCTCTCAGCTCAGAGGGGTCATGGCTTCACGAAAAAGAACCGCGGCAAGCCAACTAATGCGCGGGCCGCCTGACACCCTATCGACGTCGGCATCGTCGGGGTGGTCTTATCGTTATTGCACGCATGCATGATACAGCTCTTTTGTGTAAGAACTGGGTGGTTACTTCTCGAGGCATGCCAGTCGCAAACGTCATATTACAAAGAGCCTTGGCAAACGATTACCGACCACAGCACATTTGCGGTGCGAATTTCTGACTGGTCCCCGCGCGACCTTTCATCCGAGTCATTGCTGGATGCTGTGCCAGAACCGCTCTCTGAACAGAGAACAGAGTGTGAACCCTATGTAGCAGCTGGAAGCCGGACGTGCACATGTGCAGAGCAGAATGTGGGTATCGTATGACCAAGGCGCAGTCAAGATCAGGTGTAGGGTGGTTTGAATGGGTCCTCTTTGACTCACATCTGTGTGACGCACAGCGAGACGAGCCACTCACAACTTCCGCAACATCGACGACCTTGACGAAAAGATACTCTCACGAATGAGAGAAATCGCAAGTATAATATACTGGTTTGAATGGGGTTGGGTCGTATTGGCTCTCTGAACATGGAAGAGATTTCACAGTGGTATTCTAACCACGGTTCTCTTAACAGTGTGAAAAAGGCCGCAGTAGAAAGCTCCAGGGCTCACGCTTCTAAACAGAAATATTCTAACCATTCAACCCACTTTACAAAT